ACACACACACACACACACACACACACACACAAACACAAACACAAATACAAACAAAAAGAAACACGAATATACCTGTCTTGAAGTCAGCCACGGTATAGAGCCAAGTCCGACTAATGGCGTCCCCGGAGCCTGTGGCCTCCTCCGTCCGGACGATCGACACATTGAAGTCATAGTAGAAAGACTCCTAGTTAGGAAGAACAGCGGAACAAAAGAAGGTGGGGGTGGGTGGGTGACAGAAGTATACAGAATGAATGCATGTCATTCTTTTATGTTCGTGTTTTTAACACTATCAACACATAGACAGTGTTGATAGGGGCGTTAAACCCATACCATTTCCCCATTTCACATATAGACACGTTGGTGTTTTTACTCCACGATCCACACATAGACATATATGAGGCAGCGAGATGGAATCAGGCTCTCGTCAATTTTTGGGCATATTGAGTTATTGGTATCATCTTAAAGCTTGTTCATTTGTCTTGCTTTCAATGAAATAATTACCCATCCATCTTCAATAAAAGTGGAGATATTTTGGATTGAAGGAGGAGGGGGTCACCTGGTTTAAGAGGTAAAATTAGCGAGAAAATGGCCGCCAAAGCTTGGTAAATTCCAAAGCTGGAGGGTTCATGGAAACTGTAAATTTATATTTTTGTGCCTTTAATCAATGTTTTCGGTGAAGTCCTCAAAGGAATGTGTTTGCAAATGGACGTAAAAGGTGCTGAGCCAAAAAACAAAAAATTGATTAAAATTGCTAAACAGGGAGAAAACTGCTGTTTTCTTCGATTTCATTATTTTGACGAGAGCCTGATTCCAACACGCCGCCTCACATATTGATAAAGACATAGTACCTCGCATATCGCCTCCTAGATAGGAATAACAAGGGAAAGAGGGGGGTGATTGGGTGGTGGAGTGCCAGAAGTAAGCAGAATGAATACATATTTATTTATGTTGGGTTTTTGCACCATGATCCACACATACGCCACCATTTAAAAGTTGGGCTACAACCCTGTCTGTCAGGGTCAACCCGGGCTGAGAGAGACACAACAGCCATGCAGAACGACCCGGATACCCGATAAAAAGTGTCCACCTAACGTAAGTTGGACTCAGTTCTTCTACGAAGGTGGCAAACCATCTAACCGCTGCACCACAGACGCTGATGCAGATTGAGAGAAGGTATCACACTCCTACATTACCTCTAACAATATCATACTCTGAATTCACCTCTGATTTCTATCTCACACTCCTACATTAGCTCTAACAATATCACACTCGTACATCACCTCTGATTTTTATCACACTCATGCATTACCTCTAACAATACTACACTCTTACCTCACCCCTGGCAACATCAACTTAAACAATATCACACTCATACATCATCTCTAACAATATCACGCTATAATTGTATCACACTTTTACATCACCCCTGGCTGCATTACACTCTTAGTCTTGCATCCCCACAAGAAATATCACACTCTTTTTACATCACCCCTCACATTATCACTCCTACATCACCTCTAACAATACCGACCTTTCACATTATCACTCTCATACATCACCTTGAAATCATCACACTGCTACGTCCCCTCTGAAATCATCAGACTCCTAAACCACCTCTCTAAAAATATCACAATTTAACATAGCCCTTGACAATATCACCACTACATCAACTCAAACAATACCGTAATCTTACAACGCCTTTGACATAATCACGTTCATACATCATCTCTGAAGTCATCACACTCCTTTATCATCACTCAAACAATATCACACACTTATATCACCTCTGATTCTGGGGCACTAGCTGTACTCACCTCGTATCGCTCTATAGTGGGGATAGCGCCTTGATTGAACACTATGATCTCTTCGCCTTTGAAGTGGAAGTTGTTGGGCATATTAGGAAGAGGGTTTCGAACGCTGGCTTTCGGCTGATTGGTGCACAGGTTAAATTCCGGGAGCTACAAAACGTAAATGATAAATGGGTGACTTTGACAGCGTGTGTGTTTGAGTGTGTATGTTTGTGTGTGTATGTGTGTGTGTATGTGTGTGCGTGTATGTGTGTGTGTGTGTGTGAGAGAGAGAGAGAGAGAAAAAGAGAGAGAGAAAGAGAGAGAGAAAGA